AATTTTGTTTTGAACGCATGGCGCAAGAAAAATGGAAAAGAGTACGAGCCAGCAACAGTTTCCAGTTTTCGGCGCAGTATACAGCGATAGTATTTAACATACTTAAGAACAATGAGTTCGAAAAATCCAGAAAATTCCTTGCAGCGAAGCGAAAGTCAGTTGTTCAAGAACACGGCAAAGGAAACAAACCGCAAGCTGCTCAGGCAATCGATAACCTGAGATCAGGCTCTATTTTCGTTTCGTTTTGAAAACTGACATTCCAGCGGGCAAGGCGAGACGGTAGCCGTTAGAGAGAATGTATGAGAACCGCTAAAACTGGGCCTGATCTCAGGTTAACCATCGACGAAGACGAAGAGGATACCCTTTTCGAAGCAGGAGAATTCGGCCACTTAAATCCAATTGCGCTTCAAAGAACTGTGTGATGGTTTTTATCCCTACACTTCGGTTTCCGAGCAAGAGATGAAAGTCGTAAGTTACGCTGGGGTGACGTTCAGCTTCAACAGCAGAATGATGGCCAAGAAGTCTTGGTTTGGTTGGCCTAGCAAGGCAAAAAGACCTGACATAGTCAGGAGAGAGGACACCAAAGAGGGTTCCAACCAGAGAAGGGGGGGGGGATGTAAGTCTATTGTTTTCTACCTAAGTTTCTTGACCCACTCCGCCAGCCAATATGACGTCACATAGTAACGGGCAAGAGCCTCGGGTCACTTGTGCAAATTAGCAAGGGATACGACAGTTATTTGCACGTGCAGATAAACCGGGTTCGACTTCCGGCGACGCTGTTTTCTTTTTCTATGTACCGTTTTTTTTCCCTTGTCTGGTCCCTTTTTTAAACACTATTTTTCCTGTTGGCCTTTTTTTTCTTTATTCTTACTGCATACCCTGGTGGTCATGAACTTGGATCAATATATATTTTTAAGCTGAGTCCGGAGTTTTATTATGGAAAAGGGATTTCAAAACGTCTTGATCTGCATACTGGCCAAGCTTACGACCAGATAAAAACCATAAGCTGTCAAGACATGCCCCTCCTCTGAAACAGCTGAATTTTTTTCAATGTTAGTTGACATCATGACAAACAACACACAGTGCACCACAAACTGTACTAATTTACACCCAACACCCACCAGTGACCCACGGGCGAAAGTTAAACATCGTCCTAATCATCACGATATTATTACCCTAAAATCTCCACTGGGTTTGCCCCCAAAAAATGATTATACGAAACCTTTTATTGGTTTTCGGGATTTAATTACAGAATGACAGGCGTATGCCCAATACAGTATTAAAATGCGGTAAAGCAACAAGATTCAGTGCTCACAGTCTCCCACAAATACCTGTCATTTAGGGACTGGTCAAAAAGTATGGGGGGGGGGGGGGGGGGCGGGGGATTTGGAAAATGGGTTCGAAAAAAAACAAGTACCCCCCCCCCCCCTTTGGCCAAAAAAATGACTACCCAACCCCAAACCCAGGTTGGAAATTGAAAAACCCCCCCCCCAGTTAAAAAAACGGAAAGAGGGGGGGGAGGGAAAAGGGGTGAACTCCGGGGGCGCCCCGCAACTAAAAAAAAAAAA